AGCATGTCAAAGCTATATATATAATAAAAATAAACATTATAATGATAATGACAGTAATAACAATAATAATAATACACAGTAGCGCACATATCGCTTCCGTTCACATAATCCATCTCTATTACATAGTTTAAAGATAAAGAGAATTTTTTTTTTTTAGGATCATAATTCATGCCAAAATCTGACAAGTAGAACATTAAGCTATCATCCATTTACTAGCCAAATGATTTTTTTTTTTAAACCTGAAAATGAGCGGAGCATCCCACCTCACCTAAACCGAACTTTGTAAAATCTTTAAATGAGCAAACAAAAACATTTCTCTTCCCAATACCATTCCCCTTTCCTTTGCTAGTGTAGGAAAAAACCGGAAAAAGCCAGAAAAACCGGAGATTTGGCATCCCTGTATCATCATAGTGTGATGTTTGTATGAGAAGCACACCAACACAATAAGGGTCATCTAGTCTATAGGGATAAAGTAAGATGGACAGACAGACAGACGGATGGACAGACACACACAAAAGAGGGAAGGCAAAGACAAAGCTCCTTCCAGCAACAATCTCCAACCATCCTCATTAATTTTTCAAAACTTCAGAAAAAATATGTGAGGATAATTATATAGCGCTCAATCAGGACATACCTTGTAGTTGTTGGTCATGATCGGTATAAAATCCTGGGGAGAAAAAAGGAACAATACTGAAATTAGCGAAAGACAAAATCAAATAAGAGATACAGGCAACAAGAGAAATATAGTAGTTAGTTATAACACATTTCGCAACAGACCAAAGGTTCTCATAATGGAATACGTGAAGAGAGGAGCCAATTTTTTAAACTTCTGCTTGTGTTCTTTTTACTTTACAATAACTAATAGGGCCTACAACATTAATAGCATAAACAAAACAAGTTTGTTTTTGTTTTTGTTTTGTTTTTTTCAATTCAGTCTTCCCTTAGTTCACGAAGCTATAACTAGTTTCCCAACATTTGTCAACACAGTGTCTGACTTCCAGCACACCTCTCTTCTGAAAAATATGTGAGGCGTGTGGACAAAATGAGTTACTTCTCGCAACCCATGAGTGGAGATGTCGGCCGAAAATAGACGCATCAAATTTGTAGATTTTTCAGAGATGTCATTTTTTCTTCAAGTTCGACATGCCTTTCATCATTTCATGTAATAAATCGTACCACGCCAACCTTTAAATTCCATGTATCTTTCAGTGTCCATGGGGCTAGCTTATTTTGTCAGCACACCTCACATATGTCTTTTTGAAAGTAGGGTGTTTTACACCCCAGTGACACAACCGTCCACAAAATTAAACAGATACTAACAAACATCAATCTGTCACTGGAAACGAGAAAAAGAGTACTGAAAAGTTACATTGAGCCAATCCTTTTATACGGGTGCGAAGCATGGACAATCAATAAACAGCTGGAAAGAACAATTGTGGCGACAGAGTTGTGGTTCATAAGACGCATGCTGCGTATCCCATGGACAGCTAGAAAAACAAATGAAGAAGTCCTGGTTGAAGCAAATTATAGAAGACAGCTTGTGACGAATATAAGAAAGCGACAGGAAAATTTCTTTGGACACACAATGCGGAAAGAAGCATTGGAGAATATTATTGTAACAACAGGCAAGTTTAATGGAAAGAGAGGCAGAGGGGAAAGATACTGGACAACATGGCTAGGAGCAGCAAGAACAACAGATAAGTCGCCCATGCCAGTCGGCAAGGCACCGGATGATGATGATGACACAACTTGGAACACATAGAAGACGGGGGCTCAAATTTATGTCATGGCCAACCCAGGCTGAGAGAGAGTGAGACAATAATAATAATAATAATAGATAGCATTTGTATAGCACATATCCCCGCTCAACAGCAGGCTCTATGCGCTTTACACTATATTATTACCCCAGCAGACCATAGAACACTCCGAAACATTCTCAGCTTCCCGGGAAGCATACAGTGCAAGCAGCTGATTAAGCGCTCAAACACTAACAAACTGACAAGATCTTTCGCTGTCTTAAGCCGGGTACCCATTCCCACCTGGGTGAAGTGAGGAAAATTCGTGTAAAGTGCCTTTCCCAAGGACACAACTAAATTCGAACGGGATTCGAACCCACGACTTTACAGTTGCGAGTCTGAGAGCCTAACCACTAGGCCACCGACGCCACCCAATGTCCCAACAGGAAAACCGATAATATACTTGACTAAATACTTTCCCCCACTCAGGAATCAATCTCAGACCTGTGAGAGGATACCCCCAGGAAGCCAGAAACCACGACAAAGCTACAGAGACCGGTTTCTCGATACTGTGAGAGCAGATTAAGGATAGTAATATATGTGAGGCGTACTGACAAAATGAGTTACTTCTCGCAATCCACAATTCTATACATTTGCCAAAAATCGACAAGAGGGTCAAACTTGTACATTTTCTATTGATACCATATTCTTTATCTACAACATTCCTTTTATTATTTCATACTTAAAAATTGTAAAAACTTCACCAATAAAAGCATGGTGTATCTATCTCCATCAGGCGAGAAGTAACTCATATTGTCAGCATGCTTCACATATAGTGTAAAACGCAGAGAGCCTGCTGTCAAGCAGGGGTATGCGAAACACAAATGCTATTTATCATTATTCCCTTGCAGAAAGAAAAAAACAATTGGAAAATCTACCAAAGTGAAGGATAGAACCTACGTAGAACACAAGAGAAAAACCTTGACCGCAGGGAAATGTGCTGTAACAGAAGGCTCTAGCAGAACCAGGAACTTATAAAATTATGAGCTTGGGAAATAAGGGAAGTATTTAGAACAGGTCATGCCCTTTTCCAATGATAAAAAATATCTTTTTCCCCTTAGGTGAGGGTATACGCCATGAACAAACACTTTCAACACCATGTCCCTATCCTGGGCTAGCCTCTTGTATTTTTCCGCATCCTCCCGATTTTCTGTAAGGGCCTACAGAATCTGTGACTTTTCTCCAGATTCCATATATATGGCCTTACTCTTGATCTCTTACCCAGAACTTACATCTCAATCTTATGGCCATTCAACCAGACATTGATCACAGGAGATAAAACAACACATGACCTACCCGCTTGAACTTGGCTTTGATCTCATCCAGGCTTTCCATCCTGAGCACAGACATGCCACAAATGAAGACAGAGATGAACACCGGAGCACCACACAGCTGGAAAATGTAAAAATGTCACAGTAGAAGTTTTACGCCCCCATCGACACTTTTATCTAAATCATTTAGGAGACAGGCTGCTTTGGTCCTCTCATTGGTTTCAATGATGTCACAGATTTCTGGAACAAAGGGTTCAGGACAAGATTTAACTCTTTACCCATGTCTGGACGGTGGCAGCTTCTGGTAGTTGAGGCCCGTAACCATGGTGGGACGGTACCATCGTCCGATGCGAAGTTATTATTGTACGGGCCGCAAATTTATTAAAAAGGCAAAGATTAATGAATTCTACGTCTGGGTAGTGCTTTATTGATCAGTTTGACACGAAACAAGCAGTTTTTAAAATGTAATATGTCGGGTCGTATTTCCACAAACATGAGAGAATTTAGCGGAAAAGTGATTTTAAATTGCATGGTTAAAGAGTTAAACAGTGAAAAAGATATCTGCGAAAAACAGTCTTATCCAAATCCATTTACAAAATTTGAAAGTTATTCAAACTCAGTACAAATTCTCTCTCACCTGATCTGTAGCCATCATTTTGAGAGCCGCCAAGTTCTTTCCTGCATACAGCTTGTCTAAAGTAAAGTACCAACCTCGCATCATGGGACCCTGGTAGAAGAGGTAATGAGTTTTTATCTGTAAGTCGTGTTTTACTATCGTATCCATATTTCCAAAGAAGAAATTTACTCGTTAATCCGATCCGTACGCTTTGCCTAACAAACTGTCAAAATGATTTTTTGAGAAATACTGAAAGTTTCAAAGAGATCTTCCCATTAGAAGTATTCTAAAATGTGGAGAATACAACCCCGGAGGTACAAAATGACCCGCAGGGCGTACGGTTAGGGTTATAACAATAATAACTTTACACTGCTCTGTTATTCAGTTGGGCATAGATACCTCAAGCACGTCCCAGAGTGACAAATATGTTCAACACAGCCATAATTCAGGTAAATCAATGTAATAAAAAGTTATAGAGATATTAGCCGGGGAATGGTAAATTGTAGGCCCTACAATCTATCAGTGATTTCGAGTTTTCCATGTTCCTGTTATCTGTGACTATCTGTGCCAAACTTCACTTTCAGTCTCAGGTATAGATATAACAAGCTGGGCCCCCTTTCGATGAAAGGAACGATCGGTGCTTTAATATCAACTAAAAGTTATTGGCCTACTATATTTACACTCTACTGGAATGGGGCAATAAATCTTGAGAGATGCAAAAAATTATAAGGCCTAGATCTACTCTCAAAACAAAATGTGCATCGCGAAATATCACTTCCGGATTTTCTAAAATTACAAAGACAGAAGCGTCGGCCTACAAAAGCGATCGGCGAAATAAAGAAATTTAGCTTTTTGCAGCAAAACTGTCTCTAAACTGAAAAAACGAAGGGCGCCATGCTTTGGAGAATATTTTAAAGAATCTTTTGGCGATAACCGCATGTCGATCGATGCAGCCATTAAAAAGCCTTTTGAATAGCAAAATTGGGCCACCGCAAATAGATAATAGATATGAAGAACTCAGTTGCTATGGTGCTAGAGTGATCAATGTTCTTGATATAAAGACCAGTACATTAGAACAGACTGTTTTAGGTTATTTGAATTTACAAAAAGAAGCTGATCTGTGTGTATGAAATTGATTGACTGAATGAAACTAAATTCAAAATACCAAAAGTTTAAATTTAAAATCCCTACAAACTTTATTTTGACAAAACAGTTATACTATTTACGAAGTACAATAACAAATCTATGGGACACAGCACCCATTTCCAGTTTAGGAAATTGGACACATTCCTAGACACAATGGACTACAACAATAAAATGTATAGATTTTTAAAATAACCACAGAGCATTTGTAATTTTTTCTTTAACTTTCACTGGAAGCTGTCTGTGAAACTAAAATCATCAGCATCCAGGCTGCATTATATTCTCTCATATAGTTTTTCTTCAACCACGACATAACATGATGAGCAAGCCAGAAATGGTCCCAGCTAGGGGGGAAAGATACTTACAATGACACAAAATCCAAAAACAAAAAATCTGCCAGTGCGGACAATGTCATATTCTTTAGTGGATTTCTTCTCAACGGCAAACTGGCTGATACAGTCACCGGTTGCCATTAGGGTCCCTGAGGATTGAGACAAGTGGTTTATACATGTACAGTTAGTTCTTTCCGAATATAAGAAAACAAATAGATTTAATAGTCGGTACCCATAAGAGGATCGGTTCGGTTCGGTTCGGTTCGAGAACCCATCAACAGGCAACCCTATCTCACCTGTGGATCTTAAAACTTCAACTTGTAATTTACGTAGCAGATTAAAATTCTGTACACTTCACCAGAACCACACAAAATGATGCTTTGTTACCATGTTCTCGACTCAGTGGGAAGAAGCTAGATTAAGTTCTCACAAGAGGTATCCGCCTTAAATTTTTCTTCTTCGCAATCCACAAGAGGAGATATTGGCCAAAAATCAACACATTAAATTACTAGTGTAAAATTTGTAGATTTTCTACAAAAAGTATAAACATGCCTTTTGGTGTATCATACTTATAAATTATAAAAAGTTCACCTCTAAGCGTGATGCATCATTCTATTTTCATAGGACTTGAATCTGAGAAGTAACTCAGCATGTCATATATTGTGATGTCAAAGGACATGACTCTTATCTTTACAGTGGGGAAAAGATAATTAAGGAAGTAGCATGCCCTTGGATGACGTCACATTGAGCCACGGGAAATAGGCTGACGTCGTCTGAGAGACACTCACGGAGAGATTCAGTCGAGCACAGGACGAGACACCTACAACACCGATCTTAGACAGGGGGGCCCCTGACAGACCAGACTCATCGCGGACCGCCAGGTAACTTTACAATATATTATAATTAGGCCTATAAAGTTAGTGTTTGAACTGCATGCACTGTATGTGACTATAATGCTTTCAGAGTAAAGAGACTATAAAAGCATAGGACTCTCCACGGTTAGATTCTAAAAGTATATATATCTATTTGTTTTAAATCCTTTTGCGTTTAAAAAAATTTTTTTCCTTTTTTTGTTTCCATTTTAACCATGTTTGTTTTAGACATTTAAAATGGTTTGGTTCACTTTCTTTTTTTGGGGAATGGAGAGGGGGGGGGGGGGGGGGGGTTTGTTTATTTCACTCTAACTCTACCTCTTCTTTCAGCTCAAATTAAACATGATGCCAGTCAGGAAGATTGCCATAAAAGTCACTGTGTCGAGTCGTTAAGTCCAAAAAGAGATCTGCAGCCTCGGTGCCCTTGGTCTCGGCCTCAAGTCTTTTTTGTTTTGAATTGTACGAAGTAATCTAGATCTAGATCTTAGCCTATTGACTTCCTCATTCGAATGGCATTTCCTTCTGATCTAAAAAAAGTGAAAAGCAAACGTGCATGGCATGGTGTAGGGTAGCCTAATTCACTTTGAAACTAGATTCTAGATATAGAATCTAGATCTAACTCTAAACTAAACTCATCACATAGGCTAGTGTGAGTGATACAATATAGATCTAGATTCTATATCCAAGAGCAAATTGTCAACACAGCAAAAATTTACCGGTAGTGCTCGCCATGGTCCTCAGAGGAAACTTCTCTAGCAGACGAAGATACCCTCGCCACAAAGATGCAGCCATCGTTGAAAGGAAATTAAGAATGCAAAGATTTTCCGGTTGATCAATGAATCTAGGAATCTGGGCCTGGAGACCAGACGGTAGCTGTCAGGTCGGAGGTCAAACTGTGGACAGCGAGACAGTCCACTTGTGTGGCTCTAGACTAGACCCAGAGTCAGAGTGCTAGCAGCAGCAGCACGTCGCATGTGGATTGGCAATCAATTCCATAACCGCTTACCAGAGCAGAGCGCACTATCTCTAAATTGGAACATGTGTGGACATCTGTTAAAATTTTCGAGATTAGCGAAGCAGATGGTATCAGTCTCACACAGAATAACGTGCTGCGAACACAGACTTGGACATGAGCTTGCGCTAAGTGCCATAAGAGTTGACAAGGGACCTGTGTTTACATCGTGAGGGAGGATTCAGTAAAGAAAAATAAACTTTTTTACTTGTAGGGATGAACCATTGTTGAAAACTACCAGCTCACATTTGACCACTTTGCGGTCTCATTTTGGCCTAATTAACCTGCAAGCATCGACACAGAAAATCAAAAGAATTACATCTTTTTGAATGCCTAAAATCGAACAATTATAATACAATTCAAGATGAAGAGCTGAAGAAACAAGCCCGCATGTGCTCTAAAATACTTTGTCAATTTCTTCATTGGATGTGATTCAAAATTAATAAGTGATCTTACTTCGTGGCATGCCAGTGCCAGATCTGATAGAGACTCGGCAATAGACTCTAATGGTTCGCCTCGCCACTCATAATATATTAAATCTTTTATGTATTCGAATGCTTTTAAAAATCAATTAGGCCCATTGTCCTGGTCTTTCCGTGTCACCTACCCGTTAAGTTTTCGGAGTAGGTTAAATTGCTCGCTTGGTCCTGTTTGCCCTGATCTATTGTTCCAATTATGTTTTAAAAATGTTTATTCAAGTATCACAGAAACTGGTAAAATTGTCTCTTCCCAATTGTTATAAAATTATTAGCGAGAGGCCCGCTAGCTATATAGCTTCTATACATGTACTTGAATTAGAATAATAATAGATCTATGTACCTTAAATTGTCATTTAAAAAAAAAAATCCGGGCGGAAAGGGATACACTGTAACAATACCCCAGAAGAAAGACCGAGATACTTGATTAAAAAAAAAATATTCTCATTCTTGTGTGTGTGTGTGTGTGTGTGTGTGTGTGTGTGTGTGTGTGTATGTGTGTGTGTGTGTGTGTGTGTGTGTGTGTGTGTGTGTGTGTGTGTGTGTGTGTGTGTGTGTACATATTAATATTATATATACATTTTTATTTAAAGTATATTGCTTTCCATTGTGTGTGCTAATTAGATGCTATGCGCAGCAGATCTTTATTTTGATGGAGGTTTCTACATGTATCTTGTTTTCATATACATATATACATGTATTTAACTAATCATATAACACACTTTAGCGTATTGAGTTCAATCAGTCAGTCAGACTTGTTTTGTGTTTTTAAGCCCATTTATCTCCGAAAAAGACTACGTTGTCTAAATGTTGATATCGAAAGGCTCCATTAAAATATGAAACCAATACCCAACAACAATACAATAATGATGAATATCTAAAGAAACACCAAACCATATCAGATGAGGGGAGCAGGGGGTAGGGTGGTTTGAGTCTTGTTTGACAGAACTATACTCGGTTTTAGATTTAAATCTATTGTTGTAGTCTTCACCTGAGATCCCACAATTTATAATTACGGTTCACTAAAGATTCCGCTGTTAAAAAATAAACCAAACAAAGCAACAACAAATTTTACTACATGTACACTAGTCATCCCTAAGATAAGTTATCCCCCTCTGAAGTGTGATCACAGAATTCTAAGTGTAGAATTATGAGAGTGTGATAGGACTAAAAACGCTGCTTTCCCTATCTTACTTACTAAACAAAACAAAACAAACAGAAAAAACCCTTCAAAGGTCATCCACGCTCATGCATGAGATCACAAATAAATCCGCTCTACTCTAAATTTCGATGCGAGGTACAAGTTTGCTCCAGACGCAAAGATTTTACGACAAAGGAGTCACGCCCAGGTGTGAACTCCTCATCGACGCCTTTGATTTTGTCGAACATCGAACTCGCAAACTGAGCTTACAGCCAAGGCATGTTTCGTTAGGTAGAGCCAACAAGGCCGCCTCACACCCATCAAATTATCAGGGAGGCATAATATTATGTCAATATGATTTCCCATCACCATGAACGGCTGCTGAGTGACCGCTTCTTTCAGAGGAACGCAACGACACAGACTGTACTATTCCTGCATCAATAATAGTAGGTTTTGATCTCATTCAAAAAGTCAAAAGGTGCTGTTATCTCTCTTTTTTATATTTGAAATTATTGTGCGTTCCACTTTGTGAAAAGCAGGAAACAAAATTATTGTAATCAATAATAGGCCTATTATTACCACATATATATATATATATATATATATATATATATATATATATATATATATATATATATATATATATATATATACAGTCAAACCTGTGTAAGACGGCCACCCATTGTCAAGGAGAAAAGTGGCCGTATAAGACAGGTGGCCGACTTAGGCAAAACTGATCAAGATGAAGAAAACAAACCATTCCCATCTGAGGTCTCAATCAAAAGTAGCCGCATTGTTGTTGTTTTTGTTGTTGTTGTTGTTGTTGTTGTTGTGTGTGTGTGTGTGTGGTAGCCTATCCGTTCGAAATGTTCGGAGCCCCGAAGAGTGTGCTCTTCGCCAGGGCCACCGCCCCCCTTGGGTAGCGGGTGAGGCAGTCCAACCTCCCTGAATCCCCCCCGAAGAGATGCCACCGCCGGGCCTCCGTGGCGGGGCATCTCTGCAGCCAGTGCTCCAAATCTTGGGGCTCCTCGCTGCACAATGGACATATTGGGTCCGATGTTTTGTCTATTCTATTTTTGTAGGCCCGAAGCCCAGAGAAATGACCGGTCCTGATTTTTGCCAGTAATGACTGCTGGTCACTGCGGGACATAATAAGAGCTTCTCGTTTTAAGGAAAATGCCCTGTATACTTCCTTCGTCCGCGTGTGGCATATAGGGGGGGGGGGGGTGTCTTTTGTAATTAGTTTTATCTGGGCGCACGCACTGTCATAAGTAATTTGGCGGCCTGGACCCGGCAGCGCTGTTGCCAGTTTGGCATTACTGTCAGCGAGATCGTTGCCGAGGATATCGCGGTGACCAGGGATCCACTGAATCGTGGGTTGAGGTATTGCATTATTTATGCGTAGTCGCAATTGGTCGAAGGATGGTGATGTTCTCACTAGTGCCATGCATAGTGATTGACTGTCGGTGAAGATAGCGGCCGAGTTGGATGCATCGCACTCTTTGTCAACCCAGTCAATGGCCATTTCCAAGGCTCTCCTTTCTTCCTCGAAAGAGCACGTAAATATGGCGCCTTTCTCCCTCAATGTCTCGACAACGGTAGGGTTGGACGGGTTCCCCGTTGTGATGACGACTCCAGCGCCGCCGTCCGTTGTTCCTGCCCTAGCCGAGCCGTCAGTGTAGATATTGTACTGTGCGCCAAGTTCTCGTGCTCGACGAACAGCAGCGCTTTGAATCTTCCCACTGGAGTCACTCCTTCCGCTTATGCCGTACAGGTGGGGAAAAGTGATGTCGGGGTTGATTCCACGTTCCCAGGGCCTGGTTTCGAAGTAAGTGATGGGCCTCCTCTCGCAGTCGAACAGATGTGGGCTCTTTTTGCTGACGTCTTCGGCCCTTTTTCGGAAATCCCTGCGTCCTTTTAGGCGTCTGTGCACTTGTTCCGTTGCCGCAATTCGTCGAGGGTGGTCGTTGTTCAGTCGGAGGGCCTTCTCTCTTGATCGGAGACAGTTAGCATTTATGGTGGACTGAATGCTTGGGACCCCCGTTTCAGCTCGAAGTGCCTCGATCGGTGAGGACTGGGCTTGGGTGGTAATCAGTCGCAGACATCTGTTTTGAATCACCTCCAGATTATTTATCAGAGTTTTGCTCAGCCACGGTTGCCAGCTGCTGCTCGCAAAGTTGAGAACACTTTGTATATGAGTGAGGTAGACCATGTGTAGGTCGCCTTTCCCCCATCCCCATTTTGAGTGCGCTACAGCGCCGAGCATCCTCATCTTCTGTGTGGCCTTAGCTATTACTGTCTCAACCTGTTTCCTGAACGTGAGCCTGCGGTCGAGTGTGACTCCCAGGAGTCTTGCGTAGGGCTCATACCTAATTGACGAATTATTTATCGTGATGCACGGCTTCCATTCCGAGTCAGATGTTGCGAGCGTGAAGAATGTTGTCTCGCTCTTTGAGCCGTTTAGCGTGAGTTTCCATCGCCTGCTCCAGTCAGCAACGATGTCCACCGCTCTTTGTGCCAGACTTTCGGCGTCTCGTGTCGTGCGTGATGAAGCGAGGATAGAGACGTCGTCAGCGTAGAGTGAAATTGTGAAGTAGTTTCGCCAGTTCGTCGATATAAAAAAGGAAGAGGATGGGTGCCAGGACCGAACCTTGTGGGAGACCTTGGTTCATTTTCCTGCTGTTACTCAGTATTCCATTGAATCGGACTCTGGCTTGACGATTTTGAAGGAAGTCATTCAGCCATAAAACGTATGTATCTGGGATACCTCTGTCCAGGAGGGTGAGGAGTAGGCGTTCTCGCCAGACCGTGTCGTATGCCTTTGGAAAATCGAGGAGGACGAGTACCGATTTCTCCTTCTTTTGGAAGCCATCGGAAATCATCTGCGTAATTCTCAGAATTTTGTCTTCCACACATCTCCCCTTCCTGAAACCAGCCTGCAGTTCGGAGAACCAGCCGTTCCGCTCGGCCATGTCGTACAGTCGTTCAGATACCATTACTCCATAACTTTGATGACACAGCATGTGAGGCTTATCGGTCTAAACGACGTTAGTTCCGATGCTGGTTTGGCGGTCTTGAGGAGGGGGACAATGATGGCGTCTTTCCAGACTTGTGGGACATCAGCTGAGCGAAATGACATGTTGAAGATGGAGAGCAGTTTCTTCAGCGCCTTCAGGGATGTTGTCTGGTCCGGGTGATCCGCGGGACTTCATCTTTGCAATGGCATTCCTCAGTTCCCCGATAGTGAAATCGGGCTGGTCTGCCCTTGGGTTGTTCCGTAAGTATTTCAGTCACTGTTTGAGTTGCCAGTTTTCGGCTCTGTCTTCTTTCGACATGTTTAGACTGCAGACGTTCGCGTAGTGGTCTGCGAATATGTCCGCCTTATGCTTGCTTGATGTCGCCAATCGCCCATTGTGTGACATTGCTTCATTTGGCGAGTTTGTCTCAGGGGTACCGTTGAGGATTTTTATGATTTTCCACATCTTGGTGTGGGCATTAAAGTCACCTAGTATGATAGACTCGGGTGTGGTTGGGAGTTCGTCGGTTGCCAA